AATGACCCCAACCTTGGACTTATGTTACAACAAAACACAATCCGAATGTAACAGTCAAATCAAAAGCCCAGATCTACAACCAAATCTTAAATACCGCATCGAAATCCAAACTGTTTCAAATCCAATTTGGAAGTCTTCGCATTGTTCACTCGCTTCTGATATTTATCTTACACCATGTCTTCAGATTTGGGTAATTTAAAACTACACCCAAACTCAAATCGAAGTACCAATTCAAGGGGAAAGAAAGCCCAAATTTTTCTACGCAAAATTGGAAGCTCTCGCTTTTGTTGTACCGTTATCTTTCATCCTCACAGTACATATCATCCGAATCATAGGCAGTATTTGCTCTTGCCATGCTCTCTCCAATAAACTGTGGGCAGACCTGTACTGGGTGTAACCATCCTGTAAGCGCATCGACCACTTCGCTGAAAAGACCATCAAAAGTGGCTTCTGAGCCACTTTGCACGCTGGTTAGAAGCTCGAAATCGAAAAAACGGCATTTCGCGCGGTATTGCCTTTAGAAAACTTTTGGCCAATGAAATTTCTGTATGAAAACTGTACTAAATAGTAGCCCGTAAAAAACTGCATCGAGTCCCTAACCGAAAAGTCGGTCGTAAAGTGGTTTGTGGAGCACTTTACGAGTGGCTTTCAAGTCTGAAATCGAAAAAACCGCAAGTAGGGACGATATTGACCCTAGAAAAATTTTCGCCAACGAAATCTCGATATGAAAACTATACCAAATTGTAGCCCGTGAAAAACTACATCTAACCCTGAACATGAAAGTTCATCATAAAGACATTTCTTAAGCACTTTGGAAGCGTAAAGATACCATCGACTTGAAATAATCACTGTTCTAGGAAGTATTGTCCTTGTTAAATTTTTTGGCCAATGAAATTTCAAGATAAAAAGCATACCATCGTGTAGCCCGTCGAAAACCGCATCTGACCATGAAGAAGAAACTCCATTATAGGATGAATTCGTAAGTGACTGAGCTGCATGAAAGTCGATGGCGTCCCAAAAATGTGGGTGAAAACATAGTATTTGCTAAGAAATTTTTACTGGTGTTGATTATTTTTAGTTGGTTAGTATGCGATTTCGTGCAGAATTTTACGCTCTTTCAGATGAGCCTATTTGAAGCTTTATCAAATTATGTTTTGAGAAACATAATCCCTCTGCACTGGATAAAAATAGGATATAATTGGTATAGGCCGGAGGCCATGAAATTGTGTCGAAAATATATTGAATTTGACATCAAAAGATTCGCCGTAAAATTTTGCATCAGAAAATTAACTTCTTATGAGAATCTGTTCGTGGGTCGATTCCTGTTCTTATGCGCCTCCATCCTTTGAGTGGATTTGGTGTAACTGCGTCAATACAATTGGGGTAATACACCAAATCCATTGAAATTTCTCAACTTTTAGAATATATAGCTTTCTTATGGGTAATGACTTCATTACCCATACGCCAACTATACCTCTTTAAGCTTGAGAAATTTGAGTGGATTTGGTGTAACGACGTTAATGTAATTGGGGTAGTACACCAAATCCACTAAAAACCCTCAACTTTTAAAAAATAGTTTTCTTATGGGTAATCAGTTTATTACCCCTTAAATAAACTATATATCTTTAAAGTTGAGGGATTTTAGTGGATTTGGTGTATTACCCCAAATGGAATGACACACTTCATCGCAATGGATAACTATGTATTCCAAGTAATTACACTCAGGGTAATACACCAAAACCACTAAAAAAGCTCAACTTTCAGAACATATAGTAATCTATTAAGCAAATAAACGTCATTACACTCGGGGTAGTATCCAAAAATCACTCAAATTCCTCAAGTTTTAGAATATGCAGTTTGTTTTTTAGATGAATAATGTAATTATCCATAGGGTAATACCCCGAAGAGAAGCGATTTTTCTTGTGGTACGAAGAGGTATTGTGGTACTGGAAGAGATGAAGTGCTTACTTCTTGAACTGATAGCCATTTGATAGAAGTGAATACACTTTAGTTGAATAGCCTATTAGTTTTCATGTTGTGGGAATGTGGATACTCGGTGTAACAGAATTATGACATCACTCACATTATGATACGTACATTGACTGAAAAATCTAATTCTTGATTTTCTTAACAGTATCGAAGGTAGAAGTGTTGTTGATCAAGTAAAATATTGTTTATTTTTGTTTTTCCTTACCTAAGGGAGTTGGATTGGGCGGTTGTGAAACAAAAAACTGGTACTGGTTGTACGAATGGAAATTATAGATGGGTTTCTTCTAGTTGAATAATATGACGATTTCCTCGATCAAGACAACACATTACTTTGAACTGAGTACTAGCAATTAGAAGCACTTCGTTTTCAGCTGGATAATATGAATGCTTTCGAATATCTCTAGCTGAGTGACATTGTAAGGTAAACATTGTTCTATCTTCTATCGTTCCCAAAAATTCCTCCGGTTTTAGAACACTAACAGCTGTTGTGCAATATGAGAAATTCCACCAGGCGATTGCTTTTCCTTCGATGTAATGTTTGTTCAAATGTAATTTAACACCTCTGTATGCTATTTTTGGAAGCGACGGAAGACGAAAACGCGCACTAAGAAAGGGTCTTATAAACAAATACCATGATCTAAGCTTTGATTGTCTTTCAGGTGATCCTAATCGATCATTCAAAAACAAATATAGGCATTTATCGAGTGGCTTCCAGCCCATTGTGCATAGCATAATTGAGACAGATTCCTCTTGTGTCAATCCATCGACAGGATTCTCACATATTTGTTTGGCAACATATACATGGCTTTGAACTGCTGGTAGAATAGAAATAAGTGGTTCGACAGCTATATCAAGTGGAACAAGTAGTATTTCTTCATAGCCACCAATGGGCACAATAATTCGAAGTGGCTCCTGAACAACGTCTGAAATGCTTAATATGCACTGTGTAGTCTTAGTAGCGGCGCCAGGATTTCAGTTCAGGGTGGGCTCATCATGGGTTGAGCCCACCCTAACCTACACAAAGTGTTCTTTTTACATAGCTTTCAAAATCTCTCAGGGTGGGCTCGATGTAAATCAGGATGGGCTGAGCCCACCCTGGCCCACCCCTGGCGCCGCCACTATGTAGTCTCCTCTTTTCCACTCTCTTTGGCCATTTTCAACACACAGACAATTCTTCACGAAATGTTAAAATGATAAATATCTAAAAAGGAATAAACGATATTTTTTATATTATTATTTTCTCCAACGGCGATCTTTTTTATCTCTTGATAATAATCAAATGTAAAGAATATAGGACTTTTATTACACTACTTTATTTGATCTTATATAAGTTTAAAGATCTGCAATATGCGTAATGTTAGTTCTAGTAGCGAAAGGTACGAAGTTTCTCTTACATTTCACATTATCTCTACGGAATTTTTTTGAACCTACTTTTTTACACCCCTACAACTTTCGGTTCTTCGCATGGGGCATACACCTAATAGTGGTGTGGCTAGCGACAAAAGTCGTCTCTTTATGGATCACCATAAGACTACTAAATTCAATGATGAATCGTTAACTTTACTGTTACAATGTCGGTGAATGCTAATGGCTTGATACCATGTATCATTCGACTTGATTGAGCATAAAACTTGTAGTGGATCAATTTTAGGTCTTATGCATACTCGCCCTTTGTAGACATTGAACTATAACAAATGGCTAGAGTAGTATTGAATCAACCATTTGATAGAAATAGCCGAATGTCGCAAGGATATCAATGAACTTCTGCATCGAAAACAAAAAATCGACTATCGGATGTTTCGATTAGATTATCATTTCTAATTCAGTTTCGACGTTGTTCATTCAATAAAAATCCAATTTCGGACAATATATCTTTTGAACGTATTAGTTGTCAAACTCTTTATCTATATTTTGTTCCAGCTATTACGAGTGTATCAAGCGCTCAACGTTTTCAAGTATATAATCCATAAGGTCAGTTTGTCTTAAGTGTCATTGAAGTTAAGATCTGTATATTATGATATTTATAAATAGTTTGTATTTAGATCAAATCAATACATGTCATCGTATGTGTTGTGGGACTTGTCGAGGTTTCATTCTTCATGTTTGCGACCCATTGAATCAAGTTCATAACAGTTTAACCTCTTTTCATAGGAAGTTATTCGAATTTCACGGGAGTTTAAGTGTTGTGCTGGATGTTGCTAGTATGTTTACGTCAATTGTTGTGCGTATGAAGCACTAGTTGAATCACCACCTGGTATTGTTCTTGGTACAATGCGACCAATGTAAGGTGTATGTTCTTGTTCTATCCAACATCATTATAATTATTGCAGACAAAGTTGCGGGCGAACTTGTTTGGTTTTCATGGATGCAACGAGTGAAGAACATTTAAGTATTATTGGTCTATGTTGTATTTTGTTGTCGTTGTGAAAATAAATTGAAAGTAAATATAAGAAAAACAATGTTTTCGACTATTTTCTGAATAATAAATGCATAGTTAATTAACTCTCACAGCGGTACTGAAATTGGTGGAATTTTTAAAGAATATACGAGTGTTCTTAATCAAGCATTGACTGCAGCTGAAAATTATAAGGTATAGCTTTGGGGGCATTGTTCCTTATCGTAAGTATTGTTTCCTTGGTTCTGTTGATTTTTAATTATCTCTGTTTTTTTGTTAAGAATTTTATGCATTTTGATCAAAATGCTAAAAGTGAGGATGGCACTAGTATCTTATCCCTATTATGCTAATTCCAACTACGAACATTGAAAATATGACTGATCAGCGTATCCCCTCATTTTTTTTGACTTTCTAGTAAATACTTGTAATCATGAGTGAAATAAAATCTGACTTATGAAAATTTTATTCAAATGACTTTTTGTTTCAATACAAAATTCTATTTCCAGGCGTAATATGTTTGATCTTTTTTTTTGACGTGTCAGCAGAAAAGGGAAGCAAATCACTACTCTATCATTCTTTGTCCTGTTGTAGTCATTATATTTGAAAACATGAAATTCTATTTATCTTTCATTGTATTCAATTGATGCCGATTGAAAATAAGAACTGTCATCCAGATAGCAGCAAAGATTAAATCAGTAAAAATTTGTCCTTTCAAATCCTTTTGTAGCGCTTGAACTCGAGATTCGACAAATATTCTCCATGTAGCTAATAATAAATGTATTAAAATACAACCTTTGGAAAAATATCTAAATTGAATAGAAAAAAGAAATTCGATAAAAAATTGTTCACTTGAATTTTACCTTTGAAATTCTATTTGTTCAAGGTGAGATATCATATAAAGAAGAATAGCAATGAAGATAAGCATCATACCAACAAGCGATTCAGATGTGTGTATAAGTTGAGATTTTTCATCTTCATCGGTTAAATGCAATTTTTCTGTTACCTCTTCACCATGTGTCAAACGAGCAAGAGTGTTTACACTGAGCACCATAAATGAACCCATGAAAACATCAATAAAAGCATGAAATAAACAAACTATACGAAATAATGACCATGAGGACATTTTGTGAATACTAAATTATTTATTTGCTGTTTATCTGTTGGGTCGTAGTGATGGTTGACATTCATTTAGTTTGTTCTTTCTTTTTCTATAAGAATATTTTTAACCAACGAAATCAAATACAGAAGCCTCCGCCATAAGAATAATAGAAAAAACATGTGTTATAATCAAGAAAAACTAATTGAAACTGTACTTTATTTCAATAATTATCTATTCATAAGGAACGAAGGACAACGTTAGTTTTACTTATTTATATCACATTCTTTAAAGTCGCTTTTGAGTGAAGACTATAGGTGTAGCACTATGTAGGCTATAACTTGTAGGTATTCCTATCCTAAGATACAACTATTGTAATAGCGTGTCTTTTATATTGCTCAAATAAATCGACAGATTTTATGCTCTTATTTCAGGATAGAAGTCAATCAAAAGACCTAAAGCTTTCACAATAAACTACTCATTAAATCCTATTTCTGTGCAGAGTTTCAAGTCGAAATTTTAAAATCAGTTTTTCTTGTGCCCTTGAGGGAAAACCACGCCATTCGTTTGCCAAACTCCCAGTAAAAATACAGTATCTCCGTAACAATAAGCTAAGAACACGAACTCTTTTCAGGATATTCATAGTCAGAGCTGCCAACTCTGAGGTATAACTCATCGAAGGTAGCATCACTTTCAATGTATTATACCCCAAAGCTGGCAATCCTGTTCATAGTCTACACAATGTGCATAGGCTCGACTCAAAATCAATTTATCGATTGGAAGACTTTCCTCGTGAATTTTTCAATAGTAATGTCATGTTCTTAAATTTTATATATTTCGAAAAATTATCATGAAGTATTTCAAATAATTTTGTATGAAACTACACAAATAAGGCCAACACCAAGAATCAACTTATGAAATTTTCATATTTTATAATTACACTTAATTATAAAGAATTATTTCATCTTTATTGTTTTTTCCTCTCGAATGCAATGAATAATATTCTCATCTATAGATAACTGCTTAAACATGCCATAATAATCATTATCATTTCGTTCGTTTTTTCTTGTTACTACAGATGATATCCAATGATGTCAATCAAACAACGTTCTTGTAATACATTCCATTGTTATCTCTCTCTCTTCTGGCGGTTCTTTATTCTCAGACATATTCGATTCATTTTTTCGTATATTATAGTCGTTATCTATTGCTGGTGGGTTTGTACATCATTCATCTTTTGAATATACAAATAATGGGTGCTACATTAGGTAAAAGCAAAAGTGGATTGATATCAGAAAAAACAAATGAACAAGAGAAATCAGTGACCACAACTTCAAATAATCATATCGATGGTACATCAACACTTGAAAAAATGTTTAAAAAGAAGACAGAAAGAAATTCGGATAAAAAATCATCACATGCAAAGGTAGATAAATATACAAGTACAGACGGTGGTATAATATCATCGTCATCATCATGTATTAAACAACTCGTTGGTGACTCTAAATGTAATAATGTTTCGTATGATGTTCACAGTGTCGAAATGGATTCAACTTATCAATCTGAAACACCAAGCAAAGATATACTAGAATTTCGTGATGCTTGTGTTCGACGTGGTATCATTTCTTCAGAAACGAATAATTTCCTTTTACTAGCATCAAAAGAACAAAATTATCAAGCAAATATAGTCGATGAATCGACAAATGAAACTTCAACAGCAATCATTACGAATAATGAACTAGTTAAAAATGACCAACAACAAGTTGAATCGTAAAAAATATCATCAATAGATGAAAAATATTTCATTTTATGTATACTTAAAACATTGAATTTGTTTTTTTTAGAGATTATGAAAACAAATATTAGTCGAAAATTTACTAAATCAATACATTTTTCAATCATCGAACTCGAACTTGTTTAATCAAGATTCATCGTTTTTTTTTCTTCATTCTCATTTCATGTTAGTTATTTGTTTCCTATTGTAATAAAATACCTTTATAATTTCATTGCACTATCCTTAAAAAAAATTATTCTAATTGTTTCAGTTTTTTGCATTGTTTTTATAATAACTAGGATCAAATTGGATTGCTTATTTTTATTTTTTTTCAAAAATATAGCTTAGGAGAAACATGATACAGGAAACACCATCAAAATTCGTGTTTTTTTTCAATGGTACTCATTTTTTAAAGACTGCCGAATTTTGTAACAAAAACATTTTGATGAAAAAGAGAAGCACTCATCCCACTTTGACTCAAATACTTATAACAAAAGTTTTAACCGAACTGGATGTATCAATCTGTATGTATTAGAAAATGTTTCGTCCAACTAAAGTGGTCGAACACTAGCCATGTTCCAAATAATTGTAACGCGAGTTTTTCGAGACTTGGTTTTATAAAACGTAGAAACTAACACCGAATAACTCTCATTTATATGGCATTTGACAGAGAACACTTCGAAATTACATTAACGATGAAAAACTCAAAAACTAACGACAAATTTTGATTTTAACACTCGGAAAGAGAAGGGGTTCTCTTAAGCAATTGAAAAATGAGCTCTCATTGAAATACGTCGATCAAATAGAACTACAGAATATTATTCATGTACATTGAAATCTTTAATATCAAGAATAAAAAATCAAGATCTTTTCTACATACATTTAAGAATTTTTGTATCTATCTGATGATATGGTTCTTGTTTCGAATTTTTTTGGAACCACCGAACTATAATCTAATGTTTTGTTTCAAGAAAAACATGTACACTTTATAACAAAGATTTATTATCAATGAAGATCTAAATCTTATTCAAATAGGCCTGATCTTCATATTGATTCATTTTTTTTATATACATTACGAAATATTTTTTATCAACATATTACCGTGTCATTAGCATTCAATTTATTTAATATCAGCATGAATATGCATAAAACTCATGTCATTATATTGTGGATATAGTTATATGTTACTTAATGAGTTTTATTAGTATATTGAAGTGAAAATCGATCTCGTGGTTTAGAAGTTCAATGAAAAAGTAATGCATGTGTGATCTAGCACAACATTTCGATTTTATCACGAATGTCCATCTAAAAAAAAGGCGGATGGGTATTTTACTCGAATTTATTTAAAAAATGTTTTTTTACAGCAACTATATAAATAATCGGTCGAGAATTTTAAGTAGAATATTCATGACTCCTAAATTACTAAATCTAAAAACTTTAGACTTGAGTAGTGTTGTTGATCTTTCATCAGCAGTTCGGATGTATATGTGACAATTGAAAATTTACCATAATCACCTTATAGGATAAGTTAGTTTTCAAAGTAGTTCATTGAAAACTTTAAAAAAAAACACAGGTTGCAAAAACTTGTATTATACGATTCGATGAGTCTTCACCTCCTCTTTGCAACAGTGAAAACTGCAGCTGTCTATCTTGTTTCTATCGAAAGTTACTTTTAAAAAAAGCTTCGCCCGTCTTTTTGTTTCATGAAATGAGCATTAGTACAAAACAAAAATAATCGTTTTTCGTGCATATCATAAACCATTTTGTTTTCATCTCTTTACTCAATGCTTTCTGTTTCATTCTTAATATAAAATTAAGGCATGCTATAAACTTTGTTCTAATCATACAAAGATCATCATTGTATTACATATCTATTAACCATATTATCACGTTCGTTTTCTATAATTACATGCTTTAAGCAAGCATGCAATCTTTGTGGTATTTTGGTTTTGTTGTAACACATTTTTTACAGGATTTTCTAAAAATTAACATAACTTCAATGACAAGTAAGAAAAAATCATTTCATTTAAATATTTCATTGTTCTTTTTTTTGTTTTGTTTTGTTTTTCATAAGATAGTTTAATCACCAGATACATTAAGCACAATAATAAGTATGAAAATGAAAGAAATAATTTAAAAAAAACGAAAAACAGGAATCATTTTCACAATTAAAAATAAAAAAGACAAATGAAGACACTTTTAAAATTAATAATAAATGCTAATCGACATGTGTAATCTCATATCGAATGATCTTCAGTAAATATTAAATGTTATATAATTTCCATTATAGATTTCGATGATAATATAATTGTTAACGTGACCAGCACGTTATTAATCAGGAAATAAAAACAAAAGCATATATGAAAGATAATCTGAGACGATTCTTTTGAGGTTTTTGACAAAATAAAGAAGAAAAATAAAAATAAAGAATGTTATCCTATCACTGGTAATATGGAATTTGATGAGGACGAAATCGATGATGATTCAACAACAAGAGAAGGTGTTGTTGATAATGATGAAGATGAACTATATAAACCTTCGACTCGTGTACCTGATCCTAAACGGTATTCTTTTCCACGCCATGTAACTGTCGATGGACCAGTGAATGCTTTAAAGTAGATGTAAAATGACGAAAGTTCTCGAACAAGCCATGCAACAGCAAATTCAAATTTCGAAAAAGGAAGTGAACCACCCTAAACAAGAACAACAAAATAACAGATTTTTATTTAAAAAAACCAATTCAATTTTTGCTTTTAATTAATTTACTTGTGTGATTCTCAGCATAAGATAATCACAAATAAACCATAATAAAATATGACAAGCAGCAACAACAAGAGCATTCCATTCAAATAAATAATTTGTAACAATACCAGCTAATATAGCTGATGAAAGGGATTCTTGTAACGGTTCTATATAAGCTAATGGACTTAAACGCATTCTTAATTTACACCATCGAATCATTCGATCAGTCCATGCTGATATTGAATAATTACCAGAATTTTGTTGAGCAGGTGTTGGTGCAACACGTAATTTAAAACCTTGTTTAGCTATTTCATATGCGAGATAATAATCTTCAGCAATATAACGACCAAAAGTTTTTAAACCACCGACTCGATCAATACATTCTTTACGTATTAAACAAGACATTCCAGTAACACAATTTACACCAATTAAATTAATTGACATATACATACGAGCATGTTGTGTACCAAAATAAACCTAGAAAAGAGATTTATGATCAGATTCCAATGCGTATTTTTTGAATCATTTTTGATAGGAACAAGATAGAAAACTACATTCGTCACTATTTCAAAGAGAAGATTTAGGTGTATAAATTCTTGTTGAACATTTTAAAAATGATATTCTGAACTCATTTTGAAGTTGATCTGGATTGCTAATATGATTGATAGGTAGGAAACATTGTTCTCTTTCGATCTATGCAAGGTCGACATCAATAGCTTGTTCTTTTCAAGACTTTGTAGGCTATCCTTGAGACTATTGATTTCAGTCAATTGACCTAGAATCACCCAGAAAAGGTATCTACACAATGGTAATTCTACATGATGAATGGATTAGTGATATTTGTGACAAGTACACTCATAAAATCACATGGCGGCAAATTGTGAAACTTTTTGAAAATACTAAAATAACAGTGTCAGATCATTTTGAATGCAAGAAAACTACTGCCTTTCGACTCAGCATGATGAAATGTCCTTATCTAGAAGTTTTTCTGAATAATCCAAGGTTAATTAGTCGAAATCAGTGATCTCCGGGAAAGCCTTATAACTCTTGAAAAGAACAAGCTATCAATATTGGCCTTCCATAGATCGAAGGAGAACAATATTTCCTATCTACTAATCATATTAACAATCAAGATCAACCTGGAACTGGATGCAAAATTTTACTTTTAAAATGTTCAGCAAGTATTTATACACCTAGATTGTGACCACTGCAGCTTTTTATCAAACATTATTCAAAAAATGCCTGCGGCTTTTATTTTTCAAAATGGACAATAGTGCGAGTATGATGAACCAATCTTAATATCCGGTACTTCACTGCCATAAGCTTCTTTTAGTATAAAGTCGTTTGAATAACAAGAAAAAATATATAACCAAAGACTTCTCATACATTCAATAAATATTATTTTTTTCAATAAAACACTTCTCATCACAGACAATGACAGATGACGATTTGTATAGAAGCAGGCATTCAAAGTTCTCCGTTCCTTTCGACATCATACCTTTTTTTATGCTGCAGGCAAAAATCTAAAATGGTGTCAAGGTTTTTCTATTCGTTCTAGGTTTCTTTTTGATTCAGTACCTAAATTAATTTCAAAGACAAACCTTTTCAACTGTTCCCGCAAAGCCTTTTCTATTATGAGTAAATGGCATTTGATGAACAAGGCCAACATCATCAGTCATACACAAAACCATTTCATATAATGTATCTTCATACATCATTAAACCACTATCTGAGATTAAAAACAATGGATATTGTACTTTTTCATAAGCTGCTAACATATTAGATATCTTTGGATTGATTATTTCTGGTGTTCCAAATTGTAATGATCCATCATTGGAGGAAAGTTTTTTTGAACCTATATTAAAAAAACAAACAATAAAAATTCACAATCAACATTAGACTAGCTAGCTTTTGTGAATCAGATATGTTAGAATATTAAAAAGGCTTTTATTATACATACCACAACATAAAGGTGGTTTTCTTAACGGCATTCGTTTGCTCCTTGTTGAAATATCTTTGGTATTTGTTACCAATCGAAAACTATCATTATTTTGATCGTCGTCATCATCATCATTAATCTCATTTTCCTGTCTTTTTTCTATTGGTTGAGATCCTATTTAATTTTTTTAAAATGATTGTTACAATATCTATTTTATATTTGAATGCATACCAACAAATAATTGTGATTCGACATGTGGATATTGTGCACGAAGTCTTTCGATCATGTCGATCATATCACTATCATGTTCTTGTAGACAAAAGAGTATTTCGTACTAAAACAAAACAAAAAAAAACATTAATCAAATAAATGAATATGAAATAAAATCTATACATACACGAGGATATTTTAAATTAAAAAATGTCTTTAGATTTTCATATAAATTTGAATCAATACATGTTAATGGTTTAATAATTGAGATTCCAGGTAATTCTTTATGATTATTTGGTGATGTTCTTCGATGAAATTTATAAAAACTAAATTGAAATAAAAAATATTTTTTCTTTTCACATCAATATTTGTTGCTCTGAACAACAATGATTTTCAAGTGATTCTCTTAGACATGCATTCGAAATTTTTTTTTATCATGTGATTGTTGTTGACCAATTAAAGAAAATGTCCATTAAGCGTTGTTTTTTATTTGCTCATTTTAAGCATAATTTAGATTCTTCTTTTATTTTTATTTATATTTTTGATCCCGAACAATAGCAGAAGAGTCTATTTTTTTAAATTATAGTTGCTTGTGTCAACATACGTTTCAAGCAGATAATCGTAATTTTTATAACATTTTTTTTTTGGTTTCTTTGATTAACATTCTACTGCTAATGCATATCTCTATAGAATAGAATATAGGGCATAAATGAAATCAAGTTAATATTATTGAATGTATGAAGTGCTAACAATTCATTAATTCATCTATATAAAACGATAAATACTACGCGAGAAAAAAGAAATAGATTGATTAGACACCAATCAGTAGCTGTCAGCAAATCATAATCGATTTATCGAAAGGAAATTTATCGTATTTTTATTGTTTTTTTCTACCTGTCACTATGACAGAGAAGAAAGAAAAGATTTTTGTTACTAACTCATTTTATATATAATAAATGAAAGAAAATTATAAATAGTTTAGGGAGTTTCTATGTAAGATAAAATTTCTAAATTTGAACAAAATCAGAAAAAAAAATTTCTTACCCATAACTAAGTCCACCACAATGAAATAGCCAAACCAATATGAGAACTAATACGGCCAAAATAAGACAGACAGTAAAGACAAGTGTATAAACAATATGAAGGAAAGACATGGCCAACTGTGATAGTAGTAGATAGTACCGGAATTCAACTTTTCATAGATAGCTCATTTTATGTAGGCTCATTTACTTTAATTTTCACTAATATAGAACTTGTACAGAAAAACAGAAGGAAAAGCTGATTGACGGTTAGTTGAAAAGCAAAATTGAGTAAAAGAACGGAATAAAAAAAAAGGACAGTTGTGACTTCTTAGTAATACGCGACAGAAAGAAACAAGAGACGGGAAAGAAGTAATGCACTACTAACGGTTTCTTTTGAGTGTTTGCGCGAGTGAGAGAAAAGAGACATTGGCCATGACGACCGTCTAGCATGTTTTTTTTTATTGCTTCTATGAATTGAGTTCAAAACACCTTTTTTTTTTTTAAATTTGATCGTTCTCAAGGGTAAGAAGAAACTGAAATACATTTTACGTTCTGAAAAATATCAAGAATATTTCTTCACAATACCTTTGTGTGGTATGGAAGCTTCGAAAGGTAAAAAAGATAAATAAAATTTTGCAAATAATATCCGAATGTTACTGAAATTCAAAACAATAACTTTTTTTTGCCAAGGGTCTTTAATACAAATATTATTGTCATGAACAGAGAATGTATAAAAATAATAAAAAAAATTCCTGCAGAAAATTGTTAAAATAAAACTCAAGAATTTTTTTTGCCCGTTAGAAAGTTTATCATTTTATAGTTTGATGACATGTTATATATTACAATCATTACTAATCTGTTTCTCTTCAAAATAATCCATACATGTTTCTTCTCTCACTTCCTATATATCGTTATGATGATTTATTGATCAATAAATGCCTGTTTATACATTATCGTCATCTAATCGGAAAAATAAAAGCGTAAAAGACGTCTACGCATGTTATTGATAATTCTGATAGATTAATAATCTATGTATCATGTTTCACATCTAAATAAACGATGTAAACATCTCTATATATATTTATTTCATAAAGGGATAATATTTCATGTATTCTTTTGAAAGTACTCTATTCAAATATTCTTGTAGTACACAGAGAAAAAAACATATTCATAGTCAATGTTTTTCTTCCTTGTAATTCTACTAAACTTTTCCTTACCCATAAAAGAGACCAAGTAAATGAAATGTTCCAAGAAGTACCCAACCAACAAGAAGTAAATAGCAAAATATCTGTAAAGTGACATAAAAAACGTCACTAATATTACTTGCAGTGCCAAACATGGATTAACAATAATAAAATATCAGGACAGTATTGATATTGATGACTAACGCCACAGTAGTAAAAAAGGCATGAATAATAAAAAGGGGGAAAAGAATAAACCGTTGGTGTTTTTTTTTTATTTATTACGTTCTTTTGCCTACAAGTTGGGACTATAGAGAATACGAACACATCATAAAATACGTCATCATAAATACCATGCTATGCGGATTTGAGACTCGCGTTCTGCTTCCTCATATTCTACTCATGGCTTAACGATAGAGGGAACTCTTAACTGGTCGTTTGAACTTCATAAAACTACTTTTTCCTATTCTCAATTGAATAATCAATATTAAGGTAGATTATAAGATTGTTTTTACTACAGAGGTATGCATATAAAATGAAGGATGAATGTATCAAATCATATCATTGTTGATATTTTTACGTAGGAAAGCAAATTCACTCAAAATCTCTGTTGATATTATCAAGCAATGATACGATTTATAACCATTTCTTTGTTATTTTTGACCCATAGATTAAATATCTTTGTTAATACACTGAAAGCCATAAATATCGTTTCGGTGAAAAACTTAATTCTCTCCACTGTACTTGAAGATATTGGGCTTATCATTTTATCAATGAAAAAGAAGTATTTAAAATCTTCTTTCAGAAGAAAACTGTTAATGCATACAACTTTCACTTGTCAACATTCACTTGAACACGTTTTGTAATCTTTCACAAGTTCAACAAAAAGAAGGAAATTCAGAATAACCTATGCATTTTTTGGGGGGGATTTTAACATCGCCTAGTTACGTGAAAAGTCAACGCAAATACTCATAATAATGTCCATTAGCATCAATACACTGTTGAAAGAATAGAAGATCTACACCCAGTTCAGTATTAGAAAATTGTACATGTGGCATTATTGAGATCAGAAACATAACTTAGTACTTAATGCAGGTGGAGGAGGCATTGACATACAAGAAAAGCTAATCCGGAATCACAAAGTGAAAGAGACGATTGAGTATATACGCATCTGAAGAGAAATGTGCGCATAAATCTGACATCGAACTGATAGCCTGCATAAAAAAAAAGAGAATAGAAAGAGAACACTGATGTTGCTTGTACCAGATTAATAAAGTCTTGCACAAGGATCAAAAGTTGATAAATAAGTGTGTTGTTAATCGGGGTTCAATGCTGACTCAGAAAACTTGAAAGATGAGAACAATTTTCAATTGTTGATATTTACTGTGGTACGTATGCGACTGTAACGTCACTTTAGCTAGATATGAATAGACCAAGAAATCGAAATTCGAAAAAACTCGATATCCAAAATTTGTTTAGTTTGTAAAAGTTCACGAATAGAAAGAGTTAACATATATAGATAAGAGAAAGCGATGCCGATTTTCAAGGTAATTCTATCAATATGTAATTGAACTACTGTATTGTTAACGGTAGAGCAGACGCAAAGAACAGTGTATATATGTGTGTACGACAAATACAAAAAAATGAGTACGAAACTTTAGCAATTCTTTTGATGGATTTGAAGTAAAAATTCCCACCACAAATGCCAAAAATTCGTCCTAGATATACTACGATGTCAATCGTGAGCAATTTGCAAAACTTGGAACCATTTAAAATTCAATTCAAATTGAGTAATATATAAGAAAAAAATGTATATGAAAAGAGTTTTGATCTGAAGTATACTATCATTGAGTTTCTACGATTTTTTTGAAAACTTGACTATAGATAGGCAAATTGTATTACTTTATAGCTAGAATGTTCGGTGAATTTTTCTCGAGCTTTGTAAGAATTCATTATAACTTCATCTTCAAGTCGATCTTTTCAATTTTGAATTCTCAAAGATTACGCTAAGACTCGTGTTCTTAATTCTCTTAGTCTTTTGTTCAAATTGTATGACAAATTGTCATAAATACTTCGATGAGATTAGACATCTAATTTGAGAATTTTTTTACGCTTATACATAAATAAATTCAACGCAATCTATTTTAGTAATTATGTCTCAATTATAGCTTCACATAATATCGATTTTAGGTGTTCTTATCGTATGTGTGCAAGGAAAATAACTCCATCTTCTCATTGACCTTATTGTTTCAAAGCTGTTTGTTTTTCAAGAAAAAAGAGGCGGAGTGGGTTGCCAAGCATAAATAAATCCATTTATGTAATTGTAAAAGGTTACATTATCGTATTGAGGTAAGTGTTGATAATTGAAAGTAGTGTTCACTAACGATTTTCTTATGAAAAAAAGCTTTGAACACTCTTCCATCCTTGATAAAAAAAAAAGTCAGTCCAATATTTTCAAGCGGACTGGATATAATTAAATTTTCTGTCATAAAGATATTTATGGTCCAGCATATACATCAATTATGATAAAGAATTAAACGACAATAAAAGAATATTATTATATTTGACGGATTAAATTTGTAGAAATTTTTGAAGAATATAATAAGAATAATAAATAAAAATAGAATCATTTTTATATAATAAAAAAAAAGTTTATTCATTTCGTTAATGAAAACTTATCAAGTAACTAATGCTAATTTCTTATATTTTGTAGAATAAGTGTTTGTTTGTTTGCTTGTACTTATCTTTCTATCCAGTTATTAATGTCAAAGTATATATTTAATACTTAATCAAAATAACATTAGCATAATCATTTTGTTGATTAACAATTTATTGAAATAAACGAACTGAATATAAAAATAGACATGTTTTATACTTATGAATAGTTCAAACAAATCGTATACTTATAGCATTAGTTTTGACTAACTGACACAAAAAAATAATTGACGTACAATGCAAGGATTTCTTGAAAATGATGTTAAAATCCTGATTAACTGTTGATGTTGATGAAAAAAAACAATATGACATAATAAAAGATCAATAAGTTACTATTATAATGATTCTATTTGAAAACAAAGATCAAGTTTTTGATTAAACTTCCATAGTTAAAAAATGTGGAAAATAATTAAACAAAAGTCTTCTTCATTTCTTTCTATTTATTTAATTCATAAAAACATTTTCGATTTAGATTTTTTCTAACGGTTTTCATATTATTTATCATTCTTAAGTTTTATTTCGAACGATAAACGCTTATCTAATTTAAAAAAAAAAACCAGCACAATTATGATAGAAAAATTTTAAGTGCCATGAATCAAAAACCAATGCTAATTCGTTTGTACTCAAATACATAAATAAACCATAATGGCACTATACTATTCAATAAATAAAACATTTTTCATAATCAACAATATGTTTTTATTCAGTTTGATCATCAATTATCACGGTGAGGTTCATTCAATAAGAACATTCAATTGATGGCATGTAATTAATATTAAAACCATGTAAAATGATATTTAAAATGACGTAATCTACTAGTCACTTTTTACTTTTAAATTATTTAGAACTTTGGCAAAATGATTTCACATTAAACTAAAGAATTTTTTTATCCATTGATCAATTCAAAATAACTATTACTTAACATGATATTTATTCAAACTTTTTTACATTTATATAGTAAAATGTAGGAAACTTTGGTGATTCATGGATTGTACCTGCTAAAGAATTTTTTATTGTTATTTGCCTGATTGATTCTAGTCACGTAATGCGTATACACAAGACTTATGTGGGAATATTCACCGAGAAAAAAGCATTCATGTCGGAAACTAACCTTCATTGTGGGACTTTTTCTCTGTAATGAATAGTAGTTTAATGTGGATATGTCATTATAGAATACATTTGACAAGACCTCGAGAAAAAACTCTTGTAAATTCTTAAATCGAAGAAAAATTGGAA